CTACATCTACTTTCGTTTGCTGAATCAAAGGAGGTTGATTAAATGGTTCTTGTAATTTGGTTGATTTTTCTCAAAATTACAAGTGTTATTTAAGACCGTTGGTTTCTTCATCCACTTTCTCACCTCTTTCGTCTATTCTCTCGGTAAGCACTAGGTGGGGTCTTATCATAAGGATTTTTTTGGAAACTTCTCATCGGTCAATACTCGCTACTATTTTTTGTTTCCAATGAATCTCGATCCCAACTAGTTTTATCATTTTACGAAGTTTGAGGTGAAAATCGCTGCGAATCCAATGTTGTCGTCTTCTTTCAATTCTCCCAAAAAATTCGATGTCTTCCTCAGTTTCAGAGGCAAAGACACTCGCCGAACTCTAATCAGCTTTCTCTACAAAGAGCTAATTCGAATGGGACTTCGAACTTTCAAAGACGACATGGAACTTGAGATTGGCCGTCGTTTTTCTCAAGATATCTCCCTCGCCATCCAAGATTCCAAAGTCGCCATCGTGGTGGTCTCAGTGGACTATCCAGCTTCCGGATGGTGTCTCGATGAGCTCGTGAAGATTATGGATGTTGAAAGAAAAGGTTCGCTCATCGTTATTCCCATCTTTTACGACGTGGAGCCTTCGCATTTGAGGAGACAGATCCGAAAAGTCGCCAAACAGTTCAAGAAGCATGAGGAGAGGGAAGATCATGAAACGGTGGAATCATGGAGACAAGCACTGGTCAATTTGGCAGCTATCTCCGGTCAATGTTCACGAGCCTGGTATTTGTTTTCATTTCATGGATTATCGCTGATCCGAGTTCTACCGTCGTCACATGAATGATTTTTTGTGTTTGTTTTCTCTGTTTCAGGAAAGATGACTCGAAGCTAGTCGAAGAAATTACCAAGACAACATCAAACATGTTATTATTCTCTGCAAGACCACCAAGTAATGGTATCCATAACCTAGTTGGGATTCATGAACACATGAAACAGCTGCATCCATTGTTGTACTTGAATTCAAATGAAGGTGTGCGCGTTATCGGGATCTGGGCCAGAGAATGCACTGTCAGATCAGCTCTCGCTAGATATTTATATCAGAATGTCTCTCAGCGATTCCAAAGCCACTGTTTTCTCGAAAACGTTCAAGTGATTCATCAAGATTCGATGATGAAGACCTCTGGTTTTATCAGAGCAAGGCTCATGAGTCAGAAAGTTCTACTTGTGGCTAACAACATCTATAAACTCGAACAGTTAGATGCTCTTGCAAAAGATTTTAACTGTTTTGGTCCAGGTAGTATAGTGATCATAGCTACGCAAGACAAACAATTGCTTGTTGCGTTTGGGATAAAGGTTGTGTATGAAGTTGAGTGCTTGAGATGCTTTGAAGGTCGTCGACTCTTTCGTCAATTCGGATTTAGGAAAGGAGACCTTTATGTTGGTTCCGAGTTGTCTTCATCGATATCGGGGACTGAATCTTCTTGAAGAATGGTTAGGTTCGTCTGCATAACCCTTACGATCACTTTATACAGGTAAGTCCATTGTCTATTAATACTGAGGAAGATGTGGCTTAGAATTAGGAACTGTTTATCTATTTGTTGGTGTACAAAGAAGTAAAGTTCCACCGTTGATCCAATAAAAATGTATGTACAGAGCCACAAAAAGCTCTGTTTTTTTTTTCCTTTGAGCTTCTCTGTCCTCAAATAAAGAATAATAGGGTC